TCGAAACTCGCCGCGTCTCACGTAAACCCACCACAGCTCAAGAAAGGGGCCGAGCAGTACCCGGGGTGGAGGCAGGATATGATCGTGCAGGCAGGCATTCTCGACATAGGCGATGTGTTCTCCGGCGGCGGGGTGCTGCCGGACATCAACAAGCCACAGACCGCCCTTCTCGAGCAGGGGTTTTCGTATGCAGCAATCCGCAAGACGTATCTGGCGTGGAATTTCCTCTCTGCCGCGTTGACTACTGAGACGGACAAAGCCATCCTCCGTCGTTGCATGAACCCAAGGGAAGCCCTGNCCTCTCTGCCGCGTTGACTACTGAGACGGACAAAGCCATCCTCCGTCGTTGCACGAACCCAAGGGAAGCCCTGCGGCAACTAGATGCGGCATACCTGCCGGAGACACAGGGTGCACAGCAGCAGCTTTTCAGAGAGTTCCAGCAGTACCAGACTCCTCGGAAGGAGAACCCCGTCGCCAGTTTGAACAAGCTCATGGGTATGGCCAACATGATGCGGCAAGGGGGCGGAGCCACGGTAAACGACCAGTTCGTGTTCGCCCGACTTATCGATTCGCTGCCCAACCCCGAATACGAAGTCACCAAGCAAACCTTATCGGTGGTCCAACCGCTGACGAGGGATATCCTTGTACAACAACTCTCAACCCGATTTAACCTTCTCACCGAGGAATGGAGGAAGGAAGGAGAAAAAGGATCCGGGGGGGAGTAGGCGTACATAGCGGGTGACGGCACCGGGAAGGGGCGGCAGGCTGGCGGCGGCCGCGGCAGTAAGAGCAACGGCCGTGGCAGCAAGAAGAAGGCGGGGACGGACGACCGGGTCGACCACCGGAGGTGTTTCCGGTGCAACCACCGCGGGCATAGGAAGCCCGACTGCACCACGAAGGAGGAGGACTTCCTGGAGCAGTGCGACACGTGTTCGGGCTTTGGGCACAACAGCGAGAAGTGTGCGACACCCACGGAGGAAGCGTGCATGGCGGTAGTGGAGCATGCCAACTTCGCGGTGGTGAGTTTCGAAGAGCAGTACGACCGCGCGGAGGAACTGTGCAAGATGGATCCTAGTTGGGAGAANTTTTTTGTTGTGTCGAGGGCTCATATCGGTGACAGGTGTGTCGGTGATGGTAGCAAAGTGGGGGGGGATGAAAACGTGCACGTTGGTAGAATTTGCCACCATATTTGATGCGTAGTTCATGAAGGTTCAATCGCAAGTTGATGCATTCTTGGTTGAAAGAAGATCGAGGTTTTGACTGTTTGCAGATTGCGGATCTTGTTTGAAGGAGGCTTGACGTTTTGTTTCTGAAGATGGGTTTCGTGGAAAACCGGTTGTGTTTGATTTGTTCTTCAGCAGAAACAGGATGTTTGTGGTTTTGATTTGGTGGTGGATCGCGCTTGGTTGATCCCAAAAGAGGGAGAACGTACCTGTCTGATGAAGTTTTGATGCGGAATGCAGTTAGGCAGGGAGGGCGTTGCCCGTACATGTGTGTGATACACGAATCAGTGTTGGTGCTGCACAAGGATCTTGTTTCATCATTCAAGAAGGATTTTGCCAGGAGGGTACCTCGTGGTTGGAGAGTAGAGCGTTGCTTAGAAAATCGTAATCCGCATGTTTGGTGTAAGTCGCTTTTGTTTTGATCTTGCAGTACAGCCGTTGGAATCATAGATGACATGGACGGTTCGTTTGATTTTGTTTGAGGCGTTGGACTTCGAGGGGTTTTGATCCGGCGGCCAGGTTTCCCCTTAGTTTTATTTTTCTTCGTTGTGTTTCAGCTATTTCGGCATAGTTCCGACGCACGAGTGGTTCTTCGATGGTGCAAAGAACCAGGGAGGGTGTTCGTACGTGGGAGTAGACAAGCCAAAAGTAGCCGTTACGTAGGACGCAGATAGGATACACCTGGAGAGGTATGTAGCGAGACAGTTTGGTGAGAGCGCGGAGCCCCCGTTTTTCTCGTGAGTTCGGGGCACTCTCTCCTTCCGCTCTCTCTCCCTTCGTGCGTTCTCTATCGCGTGCTAATTCAACCAGTTAAACAGCAGCCCCAAGTCCGCACGGAAAGTACTGTTGCCAGAGCTCACGAACAAAGCAATGTGGAACTGCCTCGAGGGTGCTTGACCAATTTAACACAACGTGGTGCGATTTGCGCGGAGTGAGGGTACTCGACCCCGCACAACATATTCTACTCGACCGCCATTCACGGCTACCGCTGAAAAACGAAACCAAACGCCAAAAAAAGTGTGTCGAGCTCACGAAGTGATCGGCTTGTTTTGCAACATCGCTGCCAAGCAACGAAAACCCAACCCCGATGGCAAACACGGAGGGGGGGATTCCTTACGGGGGTGGCATTGATTCTCGGCAGACGGCACGTAAGTTCCCGTAGAGTTGTTTCGCCGTTTAATGGACCCGGCGGAGAATGCTGCCGCACGAGGTTGACACCAGGGAGAAATATCATATCGAATGGCGATACTAGTATATTGGTGTGCGAAGATTTTCCTGCAATGGATGTGTGTTCTTCGTTAGGATCTTCTCTACGACGGATACCGTCGTATGCGCATGAGATTTTGTGTTTGGCGCCATTTGGATGTTTGGATAATAACAATTGGCAAACTAGGGGAAGGCGTTGTTGAGGTGTTCGCGTTTGCAAGATTCGTCAATCAATATGTTTTTGGAGTGTTTTGTGCGGTCGAAGGGAGTAACGACATGTCGGCTTTCCTAAAGATGGATGTTTGTGTGGGTGTTTCAGGGGCTCGAGAATCTGTGGGGAAAACGAGTACGACATTATCCCTGAAAAGTTTGCGAGCGCCAGTGTTGGTTGGGGTATTCGTATTGAGTTTCGACGAGTAGTAATGCTTTGGCATGAAAATTGTATAAACTACTTGATTTCAGAGTGCATTAAGTGGAGGAGCCGTGGTCTGTTGTTGAAAACTGGATGCTGGAGAGGTTTGCTAAGTTGGCTTTGAGTTTGAGAGGTTTGGAAATCTATTTTGGATTGACAGTTTTGGAAATTATCTGGAAGGCAGTACTTTGGCCGGAACCTGAGGCTGCAGCGTGACTACATAATCCACCAATCCCATGCATACCCAGACTAACTCAAGAGTACTCGACTTGGAACTATCAAAGGCACCTGAATGCGAATGTCGTCCTCCTCGTCATCCGTGTCCATGCTGTCGTCGCCCAAAAGACCCAGCTCGTCGTTCTGGCCGTGGGACATGTCTGCGTGCAGAAGCATAGCGAAAGAGGACAAACATTCTATCCCCGTTCCTGAACAACTATTGATCAGTACGAAGTACTTCGCCTACGCAAAAGCAATGGCGGCGGCGACGACGACGACGACGAAGCAAGCAAGTGGAAATCTATATGTAGCAATATCAAACTTGCTGCCATCGTCTTAGTCACCGGGACCGCTGTCCGTCTCCATATGCCCACCAAGATGTTGACCCCCTCACCCCAACCACCCGACGCCATCACCCCGCCCCAGCCTGTTGGCCATCCTCCACCCCGCACTCGTCGTTACCACCCTCCGAACCACCTTCGTTGTCACTAGAATCTTCGGCATCCATGATATGCCCCCTCCAACGTTCCACCGTCATTGCCATGCCACACTATTTGAATAGACAAAACCGGTGGTTGGGGCGGTTATCGACAATTTCCATGGCTACAGTCTCCATGCTGCTCTCATCAAAACGAAATGTCTGCCGGTGCCACGACTGCTAGTGAACCAACGACGGGGGTGAGCCCCGGCGATTCAAACGCGCAAGAAAGTTCTCAGAGCTACTAATCACGTCCAATAAATTATCATGGTTCGATATTAACGCTTGAATCGTGCAGGTCTGACTTGCAGACGGGGTGCTGTCGAGATGAAGTATGTACCCCGTTCTGTCGCTCTGTTCCCGCAACTCCGGGCTGTACTCACGATACAAACATGTTACCCAAAGGAGCAGCAACCCGAAGAGGCGAAGCAGCAGAGGTTGCACACGAGAGATGTCGGTGAATCTGGGAAGAACCACGTCAGGCCCTTTCCATTAGAAAAACGGCGGGGGGTCGGAAACGGGCTCTCCAACCCCGCTTCAAGGCACGTGAAGAACTTGCCCAGCTTCTCGATCGTGCTGATGTCGAATCGATGGAAGCGAACTACCACATACACGGGGTCAGTTTACCAACAAGGGGACAATTACCTACCCACCAGGAAACGATGTTTGGGAAACTCTTGGGGAGGGAGGATCCAAGTAAGGGGTGCCAGGAGCAGAAGTTGCTGAAACGCCTAAAGGACGCATGTCAAGCGTTTCACGTCACGAAAATCCACGGAAGACCACCCGAGCATGTTCGGGGTCCCCCGTATCATCTGTACTCTCGCAGCGGAGGCGGAAGGGGGTGTGTGGGGATGGGGGCAAGATGCATGGTCGCCTGGTGCAAGGGGGGCAGAAAACACCGGCCAACTACGCGTCACTAAACGGGGCATCGGAGAAGCCAAAAGACCGAGACGACAGCCGAGCGAGGTGGCGGTGATAATGTTTTAATGACCCAATTCGAGGACACGACGGTAGCTGAGGAGAGCAGGACGGAGATGGCAGGAGCACCGGCATTTTTTCCTGTTCAACATGTCTGTGGCTAATCCCTTTCCTCCCTTTCCCTCGCGCTAGATGTCGACGTAATGTTGATGTTATCCTCTCGTCTGGCATCCATGTCTAATAGGCGGCCCCCTCGATGTATCTGCGTAAGATGAGCCGCCGACGAGAACGTATGATACGTAGCATGGATTATCCCGTAAACAGGCCATAATTGTCGAATCGTTTGGCCCCTTCCGTTCGAACACTTCGGGTCAACTCCTACACTGTCAACCGATCGCTTCAGTCGTCGGGATGACATCGCACATCTCGTGCCTGACGCAAATTTCACAGGCCATTTTCACAGCCCGATAGCACCGAAGACATCCTAGCGAATAATATTTGTCTTTCCTGTTCGGTTACTCAAACCCATCCTCTTCGACATCGGACTACTAGAAACCGTTCCAATCGTGGCGACAACAACAGCAATCAACGTCTTACGTGTGAAAAAAGGCAACTCAGCTGCCACAACCGCACGTCATAGGTATTTGCGGGAAACAAGTGGCATTTGCGGCCCCTGACATGCACTTCATCGTGCTCTCATATCTTGTGTTCCAAGTATTGGAATTTGGTGCGCATTGAGCAATTCAAGTAGGTGTGAATAATGTGTCTGAATGTTGCTCTGTGTCCGTGGACGCGCGACAAAATGTCTCAGGACCAACCGGGACCAACCAGTGGTTGGGGCACGGTTATACAGTAAATTGATTACTGCTTGCTGTTGTTTGTCACAACAGGGAACAAAGCTTTTCGCAGTGAGTTTGGGTGAATCCAAGGGTGACAACATCCACGTTCAACTCGTGAAACACGGAATGGTTGGGTGCGCCCCTTCATCGCCGAATATTTTCATGGCCTTCATCTAAGAGTAGTGTATGCGTACAGCCTTCTTCTTAGGCATGACCCATAGCGAGGGGGGGGGTCTTTCTAGCGAGCAGGGCTAGACTCTGATCGATAATTCGGGTGGCTCAGTTCTGTGTGTTGGGAGTGTAGAGCAGCTCGGTCATGACAGGCCGTGGTAGGGTAGGGACGTATAGGAAAACGTGTTGCAATCATCGGGAGCGTGCTTCAGCTCGTCAATCGGTCACGGCATGAAGTCACGGTTCACGCTGATCACGCTCAACGTACCTAACGGATCTCCATGAATCTCCACCATTCCATCACATCCCCAAGGAAAATATGAAGAAACTTTATGTTCCTCCACACTCGTCACTGCAATTTCAGTACATGTATACGTACGGTATTACCCATCATGCTATGCTACGAGTATATCTAATAGCCCCCCTGCTCGTATGCATCGTCATGCTCCGGAAAACATATCGATATTACCCTCATCTCCAAAACAAGAAAAATTCCTCCAAGACAATCACAAGAAAAATCCCAACACAACCCATACCCCTCCAAAACAATCAAGGAAAATCCCAACACAACCAAGACTCTTAGCAACTTCACCAGACTCTCTCTTTCTCTTCTCCATTCTCGTCTCTCTCTTTCTCTCTCCACTACAGAATACGAATCGACCCCAAAGCACTACGTTAACTGCAAGTTCATCACGAAGTCACGGTACAACGCAAAAGGATTGGACGTCCGCCTTGGTGGCCCGCTTCACGCGCATCATCCCCTCCTGCAAAGAAGGGACGACGGTGACGGGTGGCTCCCGGCCGAAGAACGCCTCAAACGGCGACATCCAGCCCAGGTTGGCCTTCTTCGCGGAACGGTTGAAACAGGCGGATGCCCACAGCGCCGACGCGAGCCACAGGCGATGTCCGTTGATGCCGACGTTGGGGATGGAGGAGAGTTCGACGTGGCCCATGGCGAGGATGTGGCGGCGCGCGGCGTGGCCCCCCTTCATGGCGCGCCGTATGGCGCTCTCGACCACCGCGTTTTGCTTGCGGGTGTCGGGGGCGGTGTACTCGAGCCGAATGCCAGCAGCGTCGCAGAACGAGGTGAAGGCGGAGTCGGTGAACTCGCCGCCGTTGTCCATGCGAAAACACCGCGGAGTGCCCATGCAGTTCATGTCGGCGAGGACCCGCTGCACGAACTTCAGGGTGTCGCCCTTGGCCAGCATCCCGTACCCCCGTTGCCACCGCGATGCGCTGTCCACGAACATGATCAGGTACCAGGAGCCGTTCATCGCGTCAAAGAACGCGCGCGTAAGGTCGATGTGGACTTTGCCGAACAGTACCGCCGCGCGGGTGCCACGCCGCGGCACCGGGGCCCGCCTACCCTTCGCTTCCACGCAGCCCACAAACGGCTGCATCTCCCCCACCAATCGTACGCCCTGCTGCTTGGCCGTTTTACGCATCAAGAATTCGTTGATATGGCCGGTGGAGGCATGGAACAAATGAATATCGATGGTGGGCGTGGATTTTCCTACCGGAAATGGGGAAGCACCGGGGGCGATAATCGCCAAGGCATGCGAGAGGGAGGGGGGAGCTACGGTTTGCTGCTCACGGCATCCAGCAACAAAACCTCTCAGGCACTCCAAGTCATCACTCATCACGGCAGACGCGGGGGGAGGGGGTGTTGCAGAATCGCAAACATCAAGCGCATCCGGAAAAAAATCACCCTGTGGGACCGAGTCTTTTCTGTCCACCAGGCCAACATCAAGGAACATGCTCATATCCATGAGAGGCAAATGGTCCTGGGGGATGAGGGAGTTGATCACAACTTAACGAAAAACCCGCGGGTCAACGACGGAAAGAGAAACAATCTCAGATGATGCTACGGCAGCCGTGATTACAGGGTGGAAGTCGGCAATAGTCGTTGGCACGACATCTACGTCGATGAGCGGGAATGTACAACGCGGAAGCACTACACCTGACGTAGTGGATGGGACCCTCGAAGTAGCACTCGCAGACGAAGGTACAACGCCGGCAGCGACTCCACCGGCGGACTGAAAGCTTGGACTTGCACTGGCACTCGAAGGTACAACACCGACAGCGGCACCACCGGCGGCCTAGAAGCTCGGACTCGCACTCGAACTCGAAGGTACAACACCGGCAGCGACTCCACCGATGGACGGGAAGCTCGTACTCGCAGGTGTGCCCGCTCCTGTATTTGGGGGAAAAGGGGGGTTCCCATAACAAGGCCTGTTCCAACGCTAGGCGAGGGAGCTTAGGGAGACACACGAGGGAGGGCATCGGGACCGAGGGTCACAGCACTACCGGTATACGTGGGAGGCAAGCGCGTGCCCCAAAGAGCACATCCTACATCGGAGTAAGCAAAGGAAAGCTGGCCATTGAATAGATGCACGCGATTCTCATCCAACGTAATTCTCTGCCTACGCTGCGTATGGTGCAGAGAAAACAGATTGAACGTGATGCCGGAGACTACGTACACGTCCGACATCTGCACGCAAAAATCGGTCTCGCCCGAAGGGCCTGGCATGTGAAATGCCATGTTGATGCTACCAACACATTGCACGCGCAGATAGGCACCATTCCCGACATGGATTAACTCTTTTCCTGCTGGGATTGTAGTTCCTCGCGTTCTTGTCTTCGCCTTGGCCATTCTAATAAGTGCGGCCGTTGTGATCCGCCGTGATAAAAACTCTCCTCCGTTGTCAGATCTCACGACCATGACATCGGACGGGGCACCGTTCCCCCCCCCCTCTCTCCAATTCCAACTCGTGTTGATAGAGGGTTTTGGTTTCGAACCCATCGTCGCNCCTCGTGGGAGTGGCCGTGCGCTCAGTGGAAATCGTTGATGTCAACGGGGACGCTGGACGCTTTCGCGTTGCCAGGAGCAATTGCGGCACAGGCATGTTCGGTGTGTGTGCGGAAACCGTTTTGGACGTACAGGTTACCGCATCGGGGGAAGTACACCACCTCCTTCCCCCCCCTCTCCAACTCCAACTCGTGTTTGTTGAGGGTTTTGGTTTCGANCCCCCCCCCCTCTCTCCAATTCCAACTCGTGTTGATAGAGGGTTTTGGTTTCGAACCCATCGTCGCAGAGGGAAGTGAGAGATACTAGGTTGTAATCTAGTCGGGGAACGTGTGCAACCCGTTTCAACAATAGGTCGGTTGTACCGTCGCGCGAGCTAAGGGTTAAAGTCACGTCGCCGTACCCCATGATGGGGAAAAAGGTTTCTCCCGCGGCGACGCGCACACGTCGATCACACTCCTGATTTCGGACGAACCCATCTGAGTTCGCGAACATGTGGGTGGTAGCGCCGGTATCGGCAACATACCTACCCCGCCTAGCCTGCTCTACACCCCCTCGACCAACGACTTTGTGCCACTCGCCTGAGATGCCACCGACCACCAGCGCCTCTTCTGCCACGTCCAGTGCTGTGGCGTTCGCAGACGCCCTCCCCGCCGGCACTTCCCCTACGAGCACTGCCCCCTCGGTCGGGCACTTGCTCTTGTCGTGCCCGTAGCCCTTGCATGTCTCACATCGCACGGGCTTGCTCTCGGTGCAGTCGGCCACCTGGTGGCCCTTCTTGCCGCACCGGAGACAGCGACCGCGCATGCTACCCGCATCGTCGTCGCCGCCTCCGCCGCCGCCACCAGCCTTCGCGCCACCCCCAGTGCCCTTCTGGTTGCCGCCGCCGCCGCCGCCGCCGCCACCCTTGCGACGGCCGCCGTTCCCGCGGCCCGGCGCTCCTCCCCCTCCGCTACCGTCGCTCGCGAGGAGAGCGTGCTCCGCCCTCCGCTGGCCCTTCGAGGCCTTCCTCCCCTCCGGAAGGCTCGCGTGCACCGTGCTCACGATTCTGACGACCTCGGCCCTATCCGGCGCCGTTGCTGTCTCCAACAGGAACTTCGCTTGTTGGTACTCGGGTGGGAGGGAACCAACGAAGTGGGTGAGCACGAAGGGTTGTTCAGCATTGAGCCCTTTATCGCGCAGGCGTGAGTACAGCAGCTCGAGCGAGAATAGGTGCGCGATGGGGTTTCTGGTGCTGTGTGTGGGGCTCGTGAAGTTGAACATTTTCTTCATGAGGGCTTGTTTCGAGCCCTGCGATTCCGGATCTTCTGTAGATTCTGTCGAGTTCCACGAGGATCTCTTTTGCGGTCTCGCATTTACTCACGATCGCCTCGTCGGCTTCTCTGACGATGGCAGTGGTCACAAGATGGAACGCTTGGAGGCCCCTCTGGACCTCGTCGCTGGTGCACAAGATTAGCCCCGCTTCGCAAATCCATTACGTCCTGTTCGAGCACATTTTCGGGGACTACCTTTGGGCTACAAGCCCAAAAAAGACACTTAAACAACTGAAGTACCGGTTTTTCGCACACGACATATCTCTGGACCTGTGTGCTGCCGATCCCGTCTGTGCCATGCACTGCTTGGAGAACAGGAGCATCGATGTTCTTGTTTTGTAAGATTTGCAAAAAGACTTTGAGTACTCGCAGTTCGTTACCACACGCGTGTTCCGCCTAGAGGGATTGCCTATCGCACGGTACGTGTGCCCTACACAGCTTGCATAATTGCAGGATGGGCCTCTGTCAGACATTCCTGAAAACGTTAATCGCCTGAAACAGAACGCGCCTCGCATGCTGCGAATGTCTCTGCAGAGTCTAGGCTTTGCCAAAGCTGAGAATTATCGTATGATGAACTACTCCCCGATGAAGACTAGGCTTCGGCGGTGTTTCAAGTACGCCCACGACCCGGAAACGGTCGCCAAAAATATGTCGGAGTTTGGCTTACCAAAGACGACCGCAAACTCGACGGGAGATTCTTCAGGCTGCCATGGACAAGAAGGGGCTGGACATAAGAGACGATGGCGTGTACTGCCACGACTACATCCACGGCCTTGTTGACGTTGATTTGGACGAGATTGTAGGCATTCAGTACATCACCCGCGAATTGTTTGGTTCCGGGGGGACGCGTTTCTTCAGCGAATGTCACCGCGAGTCCTCTTTCAGACAGGCTTTGCTAGAGAACGGCAACACATTAGACCAATCGATCCGCGCGGCGCTCAAGGGATGCGCATCGCGGCGACGCTGCTGCTGGTATTATTACAAATTGGGGTGGAGAACAGTCCACACCGCCCCCCGTGCGTCACTTTGACTTGTTTTCAACAACCTCGTACAAAAACCATTGGTCAGTCGGAGAACAGCGCATTTTGGTCAGTCAAAGAGCAACACACCAGCTCGGCAGGCTGGCCTCCAGTTCGCAAAATCACATTGGTCAGTCAGAGAGCAACACAACAGCTCTGCAGGCTGGCCTCCAGTCGCAAAAATCATTTTGGTCAGTCATAGAGAAAACCATTTTGGTTAGTCAGAGAGCAACACACCAGCTCTGCCAGCTGGTCTCCAGTTATCAAAAATCACATTGGTCATTCATAGAGCAACACATCATAGTCAGCCAGAGGGCAACACAACAGCTCTGCAGGCTGGCCTCCAGTGCGAAAAAATATTTTTGGTCACTCAAGGAGCAACGCATTTTTGGTTGGTCCTAAGAGCAAGACAACAGCTCTGCAGGCTGGCCTCCAGTTTGCAAAGATCATCATGTTGGTCAGTGAGAGGGTTTACTGGTCGACCAAATTCAACACCAAACAATACCAAACGAATCCAACAACATGTGTGAATATTCGGAAAAGAGAACCACGTTTGTTTCTCACTATATATTTTGTTGTTCCTAATTAGCAAAGCGAACCGGTTGACTGAAACTGTCAAATATATTTATTGTTGCCTTTCTCACAATAGATCACATGATGATCGGTTCACAATGCGTTCAGATACCACAATTTATTATATTGGCAAACATCATAAGAGCACTTGGAGAAGTGTTGACGAACCAGGCATCGTGAAAAACACTACATCTCACGGATGTTCCAGCCAGCGTCCAAGATCCGAGAACGATATGACACCTCCCGATCAACACTCGCATCTTGGGGAGACTCTGGCAGAGTCCGAATCCAAAGACTCGGTGATGGCGAAAACAGTGGAAAGCGAATCTACAACGTCGCCAACGTCGAGACACAACTCGGATGCGACGCCTTTCCCGCGAAGAGGCAAAGGACTTCATCATCTATGCAAGAGTCAGCTCGTCCAAACAATCCGAAGAGCTCGAGCGACAAGTCGCATCCCTCCAAGAAGGTTATCCGCACCACACGACTCTCAAAGACATCGGTTCGGGACTCAACTACAAACGCAAAAAAGGGCCTTCTGGAACGCGTCCACTCTCGAAATGTCGAGGAAGTTGTCTCCTACAGCGATCAGCTCTGTCGGTACGGATTTGAGCTCGTCGAGTCTCTCTGCAAACTCCATGGCACGAAGATCGTGGTCCACAACAAATCAGAAACTGAGGGGTCACAACAAAAACTCTCTGAAGATCTCCTGGCCGTATGCAATTTCTTCGTCGCGAGGAAGAACGGCAGGAGGGGAGGGAAAGGCAAACAGCGTCAGCGACGCAAGGTCGAGGAAGATCAAGTTGGACCCGACCCCCGAGTGGAAGGAGCGGTTGCGGAAGTGGATGGGGACGGCGAGGTGGACGTACAACCGTTGCCTTGACTTCTTGAACAGGAAGAAGTGCAGGATGAACAAGACAAACTTCAGACGGAAGGTCGTCGGTGGCTGGAACCACGGTGACGCAAAGAAACGAACAGGCAAGAAGAAGAAGAAGCGCGGCAAGAATCGTGGAAACTGGTCTAAGCCAAAAAAGACCTCTAAGAGAGACTGCAAAACGTCGTGGGTGCTGGAAACACCGTTCGAGATAAGAGATTCTGCAATGGTCGACCTGTACGACGGGATCGTAACAAACCTGAAGAAAAGAGAGAAGAACCCTACCCACACTTTTTCGATGACCTTCAGGTAAAAAAAAGACGTGCAGACAACCAAGATTGCGGGGAGATGTGTCAAGGATGGGTACATGTTCAAGAGATCATGTGGAACAGAGAGGCTCAAGGGTTTTGAGGACTGGGCCTCGTACAAGGGAGAAATCATCATCCAGAAAGACCGAGTAGGCAACTTCTACGCGTGTGTGACGGAGCAGTCTGAAACTGTTCCGCCGAGAGTCGAATGTCCAGAAGACCTGAGGGTAGGGCCCTGGATCCTGGTGTTAGGACCTTCAACACCGCTGTCGACTCCAAGGGAAACGTCACCGAATTCGCATCGGGTGATGTTACGAGGATCTATCGTCTCTGTCATCACATGGACAAGCTGCAGTCCAAAGCTTTTAACAAGGCAACCCCGAGCAGGAAACGATACAACCTCCGGAAAGCTTGGCAGCGTGCTATCAAGAGGGTGAAAGACCTGGTCATGGATGTGCGGAACAAGACGGTAAAACATCTTTGCAAGAACTGTGATTTGATTTTTCTACCCCAGTTGAACACCAAGGAGCTGGTTACCTGAGCCAAACGTAGGATAGGCAAGGGTACTGCTAGGGGAATGATGACTTGGTCTCACTACTCGTTCAAGGAGTTGCTAATAAACACGGCACTCCGGGAAGGAACGATGGTGGTCATCGTGACGGAAGAGTACACATCCTAGACTTGTTCGTACTGCGGAACACTTCACCACACCCTCGGTGGGTCCAAGATCGCCAGATGTCCTTCGCGCAGATGGGTCATGGACCGAGACGAGAACGGGGCAAGAAACATTCTTCTCAAGAGCTGCATGGAAAATTAGTTGACTCTGTCATGGGTTGAAAACATTTGCCCACAAAATACAGCGCCCTGAAGGGGTAGAAGGGCTTTGGGGCCTACCCCTGGATGTCCATAGAAGGGTCCAGCAACGGAATCATAGATGATGTAGGACAGGGTGATGGCGGTCGGATCAGGGTAATTGGGCTGTCCTGTTCGTCCGTGCGCCACGGTTCGATGCCGTCCGCATGCTGTTATACTTGGTATTCGGGTGCTGTTGATGACCAATTACCCAATCCAATGCAGAGCGATGTGGCTCTACACTAACGGTTCTTGTGCTAGGTTCGAGGTTCTTGTCAGTGGGTTGCTCTATGTCTCGGGCGGATGTCGCCGAAGATGCTAGATGAAAGACTCAAAGACCGGGGATGATGGATGATGCTTTTGAAGAGGAAACTTTGTCGTTGATCCTGCTCGCTGCTGCACTCAACTCAAGCCGATCAACACTGCTGCTGCTCGACCGTACTTCTGCACTCACTTGCTGGAACCAACCACCGCTTCAAACTCTGTCAACGCACTGGTAACCGGATACTCAAGCTCGCCTTCTGCTCCTTGCCCTGGTAGACTCTCTCTTCTGAATTCATGAGCGGCAGCGCTGCTGCTGCTGCTGCACAACATCCTTCACGTACGTCCACAGAAATATGCCGAATCCGCCGCAAAGCGAGGAACGAACCCAAAGATCCCCTGAAGCGAGCCTACTTCGTACCACATTCCCCCACACTGCTTTTTGACATGGTGGAAAACTTTCACTGTGTCCAAAAGTAATCCACAACGTCATGATTTCCTCGGAGAGAATTTGGCATGAACTACTGTTTTCCACACTGGAACTGGTATATTCTCGCTCGCGGCCGCTCTTATCTGGCGACAAAATTGATAACACATATCCTTGAAAATGGCACAACAATAGTACTTCAGAGACTATATTGTATCAAACACTTTTCATTGCTACGAAATGCGGATTTTTCCCATTTCGCCAGTGTTGGAGTTGCGAACTCGCTAGGTATAATTGTAGACAACACCATCGAGAGCACCGCGGCGACCAGCACGCGCCACGAGGAAAAGGGCGAGTAACAGACTTGCGGGAAAAATGGGAACGTACCCAAAAATGAGTATGGGCGTTTGTTTTTAGAAAGCAAACCACGCCTTTGCAACGGCGCCCGGGAATCTGCCAACATTGTTGTTGTTGTTGTTGACTTCACATTAAACCGTATGCCAGTTGCT